TGCTCTGACAACCTGTCTCCTCCGATTTTCTGCCTAGCTGTCCGCGACCTCCACCTTCCGCCGCCGGCCTCCTCCTTCATCTTTCTTCCCCCCGTGTTACTGACAACGCGTTGCGTTCGGTACAAGAGCCTAACACATGTGCACGTCGTGATACTTTCTCGGACAGCTAGTCTTCTCGGTTACCGAGTGGAAGACAGCTTCAAAGAGCGGTCCGCTCGTTCTGTGGGTCGGTTGCTCGGTTGGTTGACTAGCCGGTTGGTGAACGTCTCGAAGCGGCGGTTTATCGTTCCGCCACGTTCCATCATCCTCGTACAGGGTGAACGAGATCGAACATTATTGAGAATGATGCCCTTTCGGTGTGTCTCAATATGATTTTCTATTTCTGTTTATTTAATACTTGTAATATTTTTTAGATTTCTATAATTTAGTTATATATAAAGTTAGCAATTAATACGACTATGGCATAAATGTGTTGTTTATTAACTTAAATTGCATAGAAAAGATGACGATGGATCAAATATTTGTCAGACCATTTGAAGAGACAATTCTCTAATTGCTTCAATTAGCACCAAAACATTTTCGCTATTCATAAGTTTTATAAGTTGATATAATCTAAAAAGATCGCAAACCTCAAATAAAATGTTTATTATGTGACTCATTTGACATTTTGGAAAGAAGTAGAAATATTAAAGTAAAATAAAATGGAGCAAAATGTTTTATTATATATTTTAAATAAGTAAAAAGTAAGATAAAATGAATCTAAGAGAAATTAAATGAATGATTTTCTTATAAGTACCTAAACAGAATATATTTGATATTTGTCGAAAATTTATGAATAAATTTATTAAAAGAAAATATTTATGTTTACATTTATCCCGAGCTACCGTATTGGAACAATAGTTTGCATTACCTGCACTCTAGCCTCCGACAAAGACACCCTGGTCGCCAGTTCCTCGCGGACGAAGGCATCCGGATAGTGCGTCTTCTCGAAGACTCTTTCCAACGCGGCCAACTGTTGCGCCGAGAAGGTAGTCCTGCTTCTCCTGGGTCTTCTGTTCCCAGCAGTAGAAGAGGTCTCGCTGCAATCTGCGATACGTAGTAATCAGCAATTATCAGTGACAGTTTCGTT